TAGGATGAATAGACTTCTAGTCCCAACACACGATTTCAAAGCACAAATGCATTCAGTGGATGAAAATCACTGTGAATTTGGGTACCATAAGGCCCTTTCTTAGCTGATCTCTAACATTCATGTAACTCAAATGTGAGAGTGTCTTTTATGAGGGAATTTACTCGATTTGTGTATGAGAACATTTCATGTAACTTTTCTGAGAAGGTCTAAATGAAGACTTGAAAGATTTTCATGTAACTTTTGTGAGAAGGTCTAAATGAAGACTTGAAAGATTAAGAGGCTGAAGATTGCGCAATAAACATCCCTATGCTTGTTAGGTTCATTGAGAACATTGATGTCAAGTTTAATTTACCTGCAAATAGTTCCTCAGCATAGTCTGCGCATCATGAGATAGTATGTCATGGAGTAGGGTGTAGACTTTAACAGCTTCTCCCAGAGCTGGTGCTGCAGACTCTTGCATCGGGTTGAACAGGTCTGCCAACCCTGTGGGTGAGTTTTCATCCAGTGATTTGTAGTTCTCAAAAACTTGTGCCAAGAGACTCTCAATTCGTGTTTCACAATCTAAAAATATACTTTTCTGCAATAATACAATGAGGACAGTAAGAGGCATTTCTTTGATGCACTGGGACAATTTTAAAGGAAAAACCCTCCACAACCACCCAAAAACTGATGTCTGAGCATAACATTCAGATTCTTACTAAATTCTTTTCATAGCATCTTCATATTTATGTATCATTCATGTCAAGTGTTTTTTTCTTCATTCTTCAAACAGTTACCTAGAAAGTTAAAATAAATAGAAGTGCTGCAGGGTGTCCACTACAATCACAAACACAAAAGGATGATTTCGCCAAAACAAAAGGATGATCTCGCCAAATTCATGGACTGGTCATGGTAGAGCCAACCTTCAGCAAGGGAAATCCTCTGTGAACTTGCTTCTTCCATTTCCCAAACAAACCATAATTGGAGTGGCACAGTCCATTCTCATCAGTAAGAGAACCACAAAAGCTTTTTTGCCTAATTATCCTTGTCAAAATATAAGGCCTGTTTAAACTATTTGAGAGTTTAGCTTTGTTAACTTGGTTTCCAATTGCTATTTCAGCTTTTGCTTCTATTCATTTTGTCACTAACAGTGAAAATTAAATACAAATTGTACTTTTATAGCATATAAATTATCCCCTGTGAATTTGCTTCATCCATGTTCCAAACAAACCATAATTGGAGTGGCAAAATCCTTTCTTATCAGTAAGAGAACCACGAAAAGCTTTTTTTGCGTAATATACTTGCCAAAATATAAGGCCTATTTAAACTATTTGAGATTTTAGCTTTGTTACCTTGCATTCAATTGCTATTTCAGCTTTTGCTTCTATTCATTTGTCACTAGCGGTGAAAATTAAATATAAATTACACTTTTATAGCATAAAAAAGAGGGCGAGAGAGAGAGGCAATAGGTTTCATCCAAATTAGCATCAAAAGCAAAGTTCCCTGAATTCGGTGTGTTGAGTGCCAGCTACTTAAACAGATCATTTCTCATTTTCTGGTTTGATTTTGAAGTTAATAGAACGCTTGGATATGCATTCAAGAGATTATTTGTAAGTAGTGTATGTAATTTCAGCTATTATTAGGAGACTACCTCTTGCACTGTTAAACTCTTCTCACTCCTGGCCTTCATAATGGGTACAAGTAACTCATTGACAAGCTCCAAGCAGTCTTTCTTTGGAAGGGCCACATCCATGACCCGTGAAAGATATCTAGAAAGAAATTTAGAGAAGTTAAGATATGGAAGGAAAGAGAAAGATAAAGGTAAAAATGAACAACTAGAGGTAAAAATGAACAACTAGATCCACTGAGATATTCAATAAATTTGCAGTTATAAGCACCTCAATTTTGTATATGAATCAGAAACTCCATAATAATCTGCAAATTCAATCAACAGCCACTTCCAAGATCCATGTAATCTCAAATTTCGAGAATGAAAAAGCTGTGCGTGCATAGCAGCCTCCAGTAGTAGATCATAAGCTATTGTTTCCACAACAGGACCACTCTGTATATTATTAACAGCAAAAAAAATGAAATTAAGGAAGTAAAACATGGCAAGCATTGCATCATGGAAGCACCTTGTATAATAGTAATAAGCACACACTTGTAGACCACATGAAAGCACTTGACAATGCATGCACACTGCAAATGATATGCAAGAAGACAGCCTGCACAAGCACTCATTTACATTCACATGCTCGTAATTCTAGCACTTGAACATTGAATTTATACTAAAAATGGAAAAGACAAAACAGCAAAATTGCTACCACAAAATTATTCCAGGTATTATCTATTCAGCTAATTTGAGTCGAAAGAACTGAAACCTTAATATTATTAGTCTCATCCTGTGTAATAGTACTGCCAATGACGAGTTGTATCTTCCTAACACATTCTTGATCTTCATGGTATAAGGGCCACCATCGAACTCTATCACTCTGCATAATTTGAATAATCACATCATCTAAAGTAATTATTTATACTTACAAGTACCTCATGCTGGAAGATACAGGAAAAAGGTACATACAGGATTATCATTGAAAGATGAAATAGCAATTGTAGCTCTGCCTTGGAGTGACTTTTTTGTATCTTGTACCTCTACCAAAAGTGCTTCCCCTTCACTTTCTGGAAAACTGAATTACGTAAACATATGAGATTTTTCCATTCCATGTAGAACAATTATACCAGAAATTATACAGTCCATTGTTTTGTAAGGGTGATCGGTGGTTTTACTTTGTCAATCATATGATTTTCATAAGTATAAAATTGATAGATGAACAGAAAGGAAAATCTTTTGGGCCATATATCATAGTACAAGGTACATTAATGGCCCAATCTGCTAGCCTTTCAATTGAGACTGAGCTGTCTACAATTTTTACCATCTCATGCTGATATTTTTTTTGTATTAAAAACAAAAACCTCATAGCAGCCAACTGTATGACAAGTTGAAAGTAAGTTCAGAACTTACAAGATGTGGTAATCCCCACTTCCTGGGTGCAAACAAATAGCAGAACCTGGTTCAACTTGAGAATTTTCAGTAGTACTCTTCAGTTGGAATAAGCATGTAAGTTTCTCTGCAAGCCAGAAAAAATAATTTTAGCTGTCCATCAAAATAGTGCAGCACAGAAGTTCCTAAAATTTTGCACAGTTCAAAATGCCAAAACAAGTGGAATCCACATGATTGATGTGATTTAAGACAAGCACTTGCAGTATCTTCTTTAGGATATAGACAGAATTCATTTACCCTAATGATAATCTGAAAATGTGATTGAAAGTGGATCTGTCGTTAACTTGTTACAAGTATATGAGCAATAGACTTTGCAGTCATTTTAATGAAAACACAAACCTTCTGTTGGCACTGGAAAGGAAGCTATTTTAAGAGAATTCATGCCAGTTTTCACTAGCGATGAAACATGCTGGACATACTCTTTCCCCATTTGCATGTAGATTGCACTACGCTGAGAGTAAGTGCTCATAAGTTTCCGCCTTGGTATTATCCGGAGTTTCTTTACTGCCAAAGTCAACAAGTGTACTTTAGTTGAATTAAGAAACAATTAAAGCTTAATTTTGGTGGAAAACTATTTTTTCTCATCATTGCATATCCAGTTACTCAGCATTGGACATCCTTTTTGTCTGTCATAACTAAATAATGAATATCCTCGATGTGAATCTGCAGATGACTAAATTATGAAAAAAGAATGGAACTGGGAATTTAGAACATGACAACCAAATTAACACGAAAGAATTAAAGAAAAGAAAATCCAACGCTTCATTCTAATTATTGGACTTCCTTATGTAGCAATGACACAAGAGATCTTACCTTCAACTCTTATCTTCCCAACAACCTTTTTTGCCTTCAAAGGGCATGTTTGTTCTGCAATTTTAGTTGAGTTGACTGCTACAGGTTGTATACGGCGTGGTTGCAACAAAAATTTGTGTAGTCTACAATATTATAATAGCAAAATAAATACCAATCAGAGTTGTATATTAGCCATAAATTAACAAAAAAAAAATCACCATTTTTAGTAGCTATATTATATTTTCACCATATAAGCATAAGGAATCCTACCCAAAAGCACTTCGAAGAATCAGACACTCATCACGCAGAAACTCGGGAGCCTCAGTGCGACCTCTAGCCCAGGCATATAGACATAAGCGGATACATGCATCATAAGCAATCATAGTTTGCCACGCATATTGACCACTGCAACAATTAAATTAACAAGCCATCAGAACACACGCTGGCAATGATAGTTGTGTGCATGAAAAAAAAAAAATCCTGTTCAGATGGATATCAAACAGACTCATAATCCATAAAGGGCAGAAAATGAAAATGTTCCAGACAACATTCAGTCGAAAATCCAGAATTTAAAACAAATTCATTTAGTTTTTATATTCAAATCCTAAAGGGATAAACCAATAGCAAACTTAGAAATTAAACTCCATTAAAATAACTAAAATATCACTATAGCATTAATGAGTTTGATTTTAAATCAGATCATACCCCGTGTTATAACAAGGTGAACGGTCTGATGAACTTGTCTGCCAATAAGGCATCTTTCCTTCCATTTCTCCAGTCATAAAGCTATTTATTCTGCGCCAGAAGATAAAGCAGATTAGTAGTAAGTGACTAATAGAACAATGAAATGATAATTATAGATGAATTATTAAATGCCTAAAGCCACTAATAATAGCAATACCTTTCATCACATTCGGTACTTTGCATAGATTGTGATGTTTGATCAAATAAACCTTCCCCTGATTCTCTTGGCTTGCCAACTCCATACGCATTTTGCTCAATTTCTGTGTCAAACGTAACATTCCCTTCTTCTCCTCCAATTTCAATTATTGGAGGAGCACTTGGAGTCCCCATCTCCTCCACCGGTCTAAATACATTTGCTTCATTGCTAAAATTATCCTATAATCACAATCACAACCGACATTAATCACCAGTACTCAAAAAAAAAAACCCGAAGAGATCATCAATCAACAAGCAAACAAGAACCCAATATACCACTTGTGCATTGCGTAGCTGAACTCTCTCTCGAAGCGAAAAACTACCACCCGGGCCCACCGAATTCTTCTTGGGTGTTCCAGATTTTCTAAACCCTAGATCACCATCAACTTGAGTGGTACTCTTAAGCCTTCTAAAGTGACCAGGCAATTCAATCTTCAAATCCTCCTTCAAAACCCCTCTATTCAACTTGGTTTTAGCAGTAGGCCAATTTCTAGTAACCCCAAAAATCTCCTCCTCATCTCCATCCTGATAACTTTGCATCACAGGCTTCTCCAGGTAATCAAAATCAGAAGGACCTATATCCTCAAAACCATCCTCATCAGTGTAGTTTCGACGACCAATCTCGTAATCAGAAACTGAAGCCACGCTCACAATATCGTCGTCTTCTTCTTTGTTCTGAAGGCACGGAGAGACTATACTGTGAGGGGTCAGTAACCCAGAATGGAATTTAAGCGGAGGCAATAAATGGGAAGAGCTATTGTAGAAAAGTGGAGATTTCGGAAATGGGTTTTCTGCTGGTGGTGGTGGTGGTGATAGCTTCTCTGCTGATAACGGGGATAGCGGAGATCGAACTTTAGGTTGAGATTCTTCTGCATCTGATCCCTGCAAATACATGAATTACTACTATCATTCTCATTAAATAATAAATTTTTGAAAAGAAAGAAAGATCAGCATGCAATACCCGCTTGATCCAGTTAATGGCGGATTCATCCAGACCTTCAGTGAACATTCTTATTCTCTGCTTTTGAGCTTTCTGCTACCAATAGAAAGAATCAACGTCTCAAAGATAGAATTAATCAAAAGGAAAAAAAGAAAGAAAAGGGGGATATGAAGAGATTCAAGGGGCTGCTATTTCCTTTTCCTAACGAGCGGGGAGCTTAGGGATGAAGGGAAAGGAGAAGGGAAGGGAGCGTTTTGAAAAGGCAACGGCTAGTTTGAGGCTTTCTTTTTTATATTTAAAAGAAAGAAAGAAATAAAAGAATATACATTTCTCATATTTAAAAGAAAGAAATAAAAGAATATACATTTCTTTCTATTATATGGTGGCGAGTGAGTGAGTCGCCATCCCTCATCGGGTCCCAGGTAGAAAGGGAATTATACGGGAAGGGCGTTGTTGTGAAGGGTTAAAAAAAAGAATTTATTGCTTCGTAAATAAATAGGATATTCAGCTGCGCAGGATAATTTTATTTTTTTAAAAAAATATTTTTATTTAAAGGGCGTTGCTGTGAAGGGTTAAAAAAGGGAATTTATTGCTTCGTAAATAAATAGGATTTTCTGCTGCGCAGGATAATTTTATTTTTTTTTAAAAATATTTTTATTTAAAAATATATTAAAAAAATTTTACATAAAAAAATAAATTTTTATAAAATATTCGTGTTCCTAACACTTAAGTACACCACTTATTGCTTTGTAAATAAATAGGTGATGGAAATATTTGATTTTTATAGCGTATTCCTACCACATAAGTACACCACTTAGTGCTTTGTAAGTAAATAGGTGATGGAAATATTTGATTTTTAAGTGAAATATAAAATTAAAATAAATATAATTCATAATAATTACCTTTACTAGGTATAAAAAAAATGTAAATTACACGGTCTCGTGAAATAATATAAATCAATAAAAAATTAAAGAATTGACATAAATACTCTTAATTATAATTTAGAAATAAAATAGTTAAATAAATAAAAAAGACAAATCAAAATTAAAATTGTTCAAAAAATGAAAATGAATCATTTTTTTTATCATATTTTTTTAATTCTTCAAGTTTTTAGTTTAAATATTTTTATAAATAGTAATTTAAATGCATTTTAAATAATAATTATTTAAGAAATATTTATAAGTATAGCGGTAATTATTTTTTAAAGTGTCAAAATAATTTTAAAATAATAATAAAATATTAATTTAAAATAAAAAACTACCAAATTAACATAAATATCATGAAACACATTCAAATTATGTAAATTACATGATGAATAACATAAATCATGAAAAAAAAGTAAATTGACATAAATATTTTTTATTATTATTTAAAAATAAAATAGTTAAATAAATAAAACAAAAATGGATCAAAATTAAAATTATTCACAAAATAAAAATTAATTATTTTTTATCATTTTTTTTAATTCTTAAGTTTGTAGTTTAAATATTTTTAGAAATGGATCAAAATAAAAATTAATTATTTTTTTATCATTTTCTTAATTCTTAAGTTTTTAGTTTAAATATTTTTATCAAATAATAATTTGAATGCATTTTAGATAATAATTAATTAGGGAGTATTTGTGAATGTAGTAGTAATTGTTTTTTAAAGTATTTTTACTTAAAAATAAAATAAAATTTTATTTTTATATCTATACATCAAAATGATTTCAAAATAATAAAAAAATATTAATTTAAAATATAAAAATAAAGTAGAGTCAGTTACAATGTGGGATTCATTAATGAGCTAAACATCAAAGCGTGAGTGTTTTGTTTTTATTGGCCTTGGTTATTTTTTAAAGAATTATATTATATCTGCTGAAAAGTATTAAATCGGTTATTAGTTGTTTTTTTTATATATATATAATTGATTTAGTAAATAAATAAACTTTTAATATATTTTCAATTAAGAATTGAATTAGCCCATAAACTCCAATCCGACATGAAAGGAAACCAATTTCCCTAAAGGGAGAAAATCTCTACAGGATGCGATGAATCCAGTTCCAGATAGCTGCTAGCATTAAGCCATGTCGGAAATGATCCTGAAATCTAACTCTCTGCGATAATGACAACCGAGATTATTATTATGATGACTCTTTATAGGAAAGGAAAGGAAAAGATGGTAAGGATTGTGGCTTCCTTGATTTGACAGTGCTCACTTCAACAGGAGATGGTAAGGATTGTGGACTTCCTTGATTTGACTGTGCTCACTTCAACAGGAGAACAAGACAGCCACATCGAGAGAAAAGGGCTCCACGTTTCCCTTCATGCGCCAACACAGAGTGACAGGCCAAAAGGTGATCTTCTCAGCCGAGCACAATCGCACAATGCCACCTCGCCAGCCCTGAACTACGTACGGAACAATCATGGTTGCAGCGCACCCTCTCTCAATTCAACCCAATTACTCCATTGTCACCCTCACCAGGCAGGTACGTTTGGGGAGGGGGGAGGGGCTACGGGAGGAGGAAATTCGCTCCTTCTCTTCTCCTCGGGTCTCAATTGCCTCGGTTTCATCTCCTTGTTGCAAAAGTCTAACTTCCGTTCTCTAATGCGTACAAAGTGGCTGTTGTGTGCATCTTTGGACTCTTCTAGCTTTTTATTTATTGATGTTTTGCTACTGTTCCATTTCCATGGGCCCTACTAGATTAGCGGTGGGGCCTACGTGTCTGCGAATTTTGGGGTCTGCTCTCTGTATTTCTAACCCCTGTATCTAGCTCTTTGGGAGTGCAAATGCAACAAAGAAGATTTTGAGCTGTGAGACAGAGAGAAATGAGTGACAGGAAAGGGGGTCATGATGATGATCGTGAGGATACGTTTCTTGGAGGAGAAATGGGGGGGGTTTCAATGGAGGGCCATCATTTCTTGGATGGTTTTGACAGGGAAAATGATGGGAGATCAGGGTTTCTTGAATTTGGGTATGGGTATCCTAATCATCAGTACTTTGAGCTCAAACTCCCACATGATGATACTCAACTTGGTCACCTCAGTCCACTTGGCGACTCTGATGAAAATGATGATCCGTTTCTTGAACTCCAAGAAACTCTAGCAGCCCCAACTCTTCATCATGTGCCTCAAAATGGAACTTACCACCCTGCTGTTGTTTCTTCTAACGAGGAGGTCGGTGGGGTGGTGGTGGAGAAAGAGGAGGAGAACAACAAGGAGGGGCTTGAGCAGCAGCCTCCATCCCTTCCTCCTCCTCCACAACAACTTCATAATCACCTTCGCATTAGTTTTACTTCTGATCTTAAACCTCGCCTTAGATGGACACGAGACCTCCATTCATGTTTCGTTAATGCTGTCAAAGAGCTTGGTGGACCCCAAAGTTAGTCCATCCCCATCTTGAAAAACAAACCATCGTTATCTGGTTTCTCTATTTCTTAAGTTATTATTATGTGTTTTAACAGTACTTTCTCTCAGTGCATGTTCTGAAATATTTCATGATTATATGATCATCTTTCTGCTGCTGCTTTTTTTGTCTGCGTTAATTTCCATCTGCACGCTTCTTTTGGTATGCCAGAGAGGCCTGGTTGTTGGGGATTATAAGATCATCTTTTTGCTTTTTTCTAAAAAAGAAATATATTGTTACAAAAACCTCTACTCGATCGAACAGGATAAATGCCTCTTTTGATATGCCAAGGATGACTAGTTGTTGTTGATGATTTTTTGATTATCTTTTTGCTCTTTTCTTAATTTTATTTGTAGTAAGATCTCTACTGATCAGATACGATCTTCATCTGCATGCATCCTTTGATGGGCCAAAGATTTTTTGTTTTACTAGAATTCATAGTTGTTTACATCTAGATTTGAAGTTTTCCTGGTTGGATCTTGTTTTATTAACCTTCTGAATTTTCCTTTGCATGCGCTCCTTGAAGAAAATCATTTCTTTTTCTTTTTCTTCTTCTGTTAAAGATTTCTTCTTTGAAATGTTTTTTACTTCAGCGAATTTGCCTCTCTTTTTCTTTTTCTTTCCTTCTGTGTGCATCATATTGTGTTTTCATCTAAAGAAAACAATTGCATAAAGCACTACAGTCTCTATCTGCTATTGTAACCTTTTCTCTCAAAGAGATGTCACTCTAATATATGGAAATTCTCCCTCAACTTTGTGGCTTTCTTATTCTTTGTCCTCTTAGCATGCAGGTGATTGTCTGTGCTCTCTGTTTATTATCTGGTGTTCTGTTCTTAGTTTTTATTTTTCATCTTTAATATTGTGTAGATTAGTTTAATGCAAGCCATTGTGATGTATGATTTCTTTGAAACAAATTCAGTATTTTGTAATGCTTTCTTAATGAGTTGTTTTTATTAATTAGTTTCACCAGATGCGATTATTGAAATATTATTGAGACCAGTTTGGTGCTCAAATGAAGTTATGAATTTACTTATAATTTTTTTTCTATGTTTGGTATTGCAAAGCATGCATGTCGTAGAAGTTATGTGGATGTGGTTTGTTAAGGATTTCTCTTAAAGGTAGCGACACTTTTGTTTGATTCTGTTATCACTATATATGTGACGGAAATCTAGCAATCGAATGTTCTTTTGGTGGAAGATCTTTTTTGTATTGGTTAATGGATTGTATGTCACACTATTAATCACTACTTGGAGATTTTGGTATTTCTAGTGGTTCTCATAAACTGCACTTGGGATCATAATTGATCCTTTGCCATGCACGTAGAGCGAGCTTGTCAGCATCGCAAATTTGTCGACTCAGATTTCAATACTAGCTGATTTTTTGTTTCTTAATGTTTGTCGTGTTCTCGTAGTTTTGATAAATAGGAAACCATGAGAAATTTGTTGTTCAAAATGTGTTTGGTGGACGTTTATGCGTATTTGTTGGTTTCGTAAATGTTCCCCTAGTTTGATTGGATGATTTTAGAGAAAAATCTGGCAATTCATGGTTTGCACTAATGAGTCTTTACTACAAATAGCCGTTATCGCTCTGTTTTTTGTTTTCATCTTTTTTCCAGTCTTCTTTGATTTTCAGACACGTGCACGGCTTCAATTTGTGTTTTCCTTCGGTTTTATGTGTTTCAGCAGTTATTTGAGCTTATTGTTCCTAGTTTGAGTCACATTACCAACTGAGAGTTCCTGCTGGTATTCTTTCCCTTTTTCATAAATGGCTTAGGATGCAGTAGTTTTGATTGCACAGATGAGAATTTACCATAGAAGTCCATTAGTGCACTCCTTTCCATTTTTACTCTAGCCAGCTTTGTGTTTCTTTTCTTTTTTTACCATAGAAGTCCATTACCAACTCATGTTTTCTTTTCTTTTTTTGTGTTTCTGAATTTAGAATTGAGCTAACTACTACTACTTACTAGTCTCAGTCACATGGTAATGCAGAGTCACTATTATTTTCATTTTGTAATTTTATACTAAATGTTGCTTAGGATATGTGCAGCTATTTGTTGTGTAATTCACTATGTTTCCTTCTTCAGAAATTACTGTTCCAGCTGATAATGCTAACTATCATATTCAGCTATATGGTTCAATACGTTGGTCTTAGCATGCATGGGAATAGAGGCGCAGAAAACAGGGAAAGCACAATAGAATCATTTGATAGTAAAAGAAGACGATGAGGGACTCATCTAAACCTTGTGGCCTGGGGGGCTCAATCCATATATTCTTTGGGATATGGTTCCATCAGACTGAGATGCAGTGGGAAAAAGATAGTATGCTAGGCGGGACTGGTGGAGGAGGGAGGGATGAGAAGTGAAGGATGGGGTGTTTCCTTGATTTGGCTAGAAGGATAAGAACCCAAGGACGTGTTGGGAGGAACCCTCGAATCCTTCTTCATTTATAGTTTTTAGTCATCCCAATTTGTGTGAATTGACTAATATACTTATCACACTTAATTATCCAGACAACTATATGGATGGTAATGAAACTGTTTGCATAGTCAACTTGTTGGACGGCTAGGATTCCTTGGGCAGTTTAGATTTTACTATAAATACATATAATGTAACCTTATTTTAATATAGTGAATAAAAGCTCATCGTCCCTGTGAATATCTGTGAATATAGGTACATTGCCGAACCAAGTTAAATCTTGTGTTCTTTCTAGTTTCTCTCCTGTTGCGATATTGATCAATTATTGCTAAAGGTTTTTCACAACACATATCTTTCCATGCATGATATGAGATACAATTTTATGTTTCTTAAAATTCATTAGTTTACCTAGAATGTTATACCATTCTCACCAGGCAATTTACTAAATTTATTTCTAGCCAAGCCCTCGTACTGTCTCTGGCAGATGAATCATGTTGTATTTTGTTTCAAACTTTCAAGTGTCTGACCATAATAACTCAGGAAATATTACATCATTTACTTTCTTTATTCTATTTATACTGCTTCTTTTAGATGTTTTAGTAGCTCTAGCATCTCATGCCATGCATGACCTGTGAATCATATCTGTAGAAGCAACACCAAGGTCTGTTCTACAATTGATGGATGTCGAGGGATTAACCCTTTTCCATGTCAAGAGCCACCTCCAGGCATGTTTATTTCAATTGCTAGAGTTGAATGTTAGATTGTTAAAATTTCAGAATAAGAGTGAAAATTTAATTTTATACAAGGTGCTGATTTATTCATACATTATTATTGCAGAAGTATAGACAAGGCAGACATTCAGTAAAGGAATTCAGCGAGCCACTCATAAATGGTGAGTCTTTCTAAACAACACCTGATTAGGAATCTTCCTGTCAGTATTCTTCTATCTAAAAATTCAAGGCCATCAATTTAGTAAATTGAACACAAATGACTTCTATAAGATTCAACAACATCCTTTTGTGCTAACAATTTAGAATCATGTAAGGGTGAAATGTTAGGTATTTTCTCAGGTTGATATGTTCAAGTTATATTGGAAATACGTTCTTCTAAGCCGTCGTTATCCTCTCTGATATCTCCCATGAGGGAAAAGGGAAAGTTCTGATTTAATGTTCATGCTAAGGGCTTGATAGTTAAGAAAACAGAGAGAAAGAGAGAGCATGTTTGATCTTTCTATGCAAAACGAAAGGCTTTCTGTAACTTTGAGTAGAGCATGTCATCATGAACCTGATATTGTATTCTGAATGAATGAAAGGTATCTCAGCTGCTCAGGGATCCGAAGGCCCGGGTAGTTCTATGAACTTGCCCCCATCGCAAGCAAAGAAGTATGATTAATATTTTTGTTGTCATTTGGGAAAACCCTTGTTCTGCTAGTATTTCGGGTTTTATTTTCATTTTGCAATCAAGCTAACAGCTCCAAATTTGTTGTTTCCTGGTGCTTCCATGTCATATATAGTCAACCCAAAGGCAAATCAAAGGTTAAGAAAGAAGATCGAGGCAGCCTTTATCAGAAGATTCAGGCAAGCTTCTTCTTCTTTATATAAGAATTATTTTGGTTATTCTTTAAGTTGAAAGGATCTCACTGTTCATTATTGATATTCAATTCTAAACATTACACGTGTTTGATCGATTTCGTAGCCTCTATGTTCAGAATGTTACATGAACAACTTGGTTTGTGGTTGTCTGTCACTGATCAAAACAGCAATCAACAAGCTACTCTTATGCTTGTGGATTTTGTATTCATTTCTTAAGGAAATGGATATAATTTTTATTTTTATTTTCTTTTGAACTTCGTACTCGAGTTGAAATTCATCTACTTTCATCGTGTGCAGGCCCAGCGAGCTATACATAGGTATTTACATGCACAGGGAAGTTACCTCAGAATAGCAATAAATAACGCGTGTAAGTTTGCTTCTAACCAGTGCGTTGAAGGCGCAACCCTGGAGAATAGCAATTACTATGGGCAGGGCTTCGTCGGATCAGGAAATGCTGCCCTGCTGATGCCATATTTTTACCAGAACCAGCTGAACACGAGCCATGCATGTAATTCAATGGAGGCAGTTAATGCAGGTATTTCTGTTGAAATGCCATGGAGTAGTTTCCAAACCCCAACGACAGTTCAAGCTGGGACTGAGAACAGCTCCGTTTCAGTCGGGCATTCAACAGGTTCATATCTGGAAGGTTCCAAAACACTTCCTAGACAAGGAAGCGAGGGGGATGGGGCATCATATGAGGACCCCGTGGACAACTATTTGAATTGGGATGACACCTGCGCAAACATCCTAGCTATCGACTATGGTCGCTTCGATCCGGCCAGAGGTGCCGGGACCTCTAAATAACAGGCCAAAATAAATCATCAATCATCGGAATTTGGTTGGTCTGGCCAGTTTCAAGAATTTCTACCCTTGCATCAGGAGTAACCTCCCTACCTACCTATCTATGATGTAATTAACAGCAGTAAGACTGGATTGTGAAGACTTTTAGCAGTTAGTGTTTTGGTTTTTATTTATGAAGACAGTGCTTTGAATGTTTCAAGTAAATATTCCATTCACATACTCCTGCATTTTCTATCTGCTAACGCCCGTACCTCCTCCTAGGTCGGAATTTTGTTTCCTACTGAAATCTCTCAACCTTGGGATTAAGGTATTGCAAGATCCAGATTTAAATTATTTGTTTACACAAAGGTGGATTTTGGCACGTGGCTGACGTCCTCCCCATCTTAAGCGAGGCAAGTTTTGATCTTGCGTGACAAGGTGTGCAAAACGAAATTTGATCTTGCATTACAAGGCAATTTATCTATAGACTAAGAGTTACTGTCTCTAAAGTGCACTGGCAGAGCAGGCGGCGTTATTGAGGCCTGAGGGTACTCCTAACCTGCCTGGACAATGTTGCCATTAAATATCTCTCCAGTTTCCATGAGAGGGCTAATTAATGAAACAAAGGAAGATGCATTCAAATTGTTTTGAAGATTTTTGGGAATTGCATTGCCTGCCATATGCACTTCTTTTATCAAAAAGAAAGAGATACAACAAAGTAGATCAATCACTACAACATTTCTAGAGCAACTGAAATGGTCAAAACATTTTACGCGCCCCAAATGAAGCTGCAAACCACTATCATGTCTTCTAACCTGGAAAAAACGTATGAAATAAAACAGGCCTTGATGGATTCAGGATATCATCCGAGTCTTTAATACAAGTTGATCAGCTAGAATTTAGCACGTGAGAAAGATGTGAACCAAGAGAATTTCCTCATGCTATGGAGCAGACACCAGTAGCAACGTTTTAGTCTATCTTTACAGATGAGAAAAGGTAATGCACAAAGTAGAACGATGTAAGGAGACCAATGGTGCCAGTAGACAACATGATAGCAATTGCCATGATCAGTGAATAGCCCAGATAGAGTATGGCTGACACGGGTCCACTCAAACTCTGTAGGTCAAAGACCAGGTAATTGATGGAGTACAGAAAGACAAAGATAGAAACTGAACCGGAAGCAAAGAAAGCCTTCCACCACCACCGCCAATCCTCCACACAAAGATGCATGTAGGTAAGAACCACAGACACTTCAGCACAGACAATAACCAGGAGCAGCAGAACTATCAGCAAGAAACCGAATACATAATAAAACCGTCCAAGCCAGATGCTGGAGAGAATAAAAAACAGTTCAATGAAAAGGGTCCCAAAGGGGAGGGTTCCAGCACCCAGGACAAGCACCCATGATGGCAATTTACGTGCAGGAATTTCTCTTGGTATCTGGTTTGTTCTCACTGGGTATTGAATTGCCTCAGCTCGTGTCCCGATGAATCCTCCCAGGAGAGTGAGGGGCACTGAAATGCAGAACCAGAGGGCCAAAAGGACAAAATACAAGGAAATAGGAATAGCACCAGTGCTATGGCTTCCCCAGAGAATGAAATTCAAAATTGTTAGGATAACAAAGACAATCCCAGGGAAGAAGGATGCAACTGACCAAGAGATGGACCTCCATCCTTCTGAAGTTCCTTTGATGGTTGTCCACATACATACTGCAGCATAGCCTGCAGCAATACCGAGGAAAAGATACAGAAGAATCATCCCTGTCAGCAGCATTCCTCGTGAAGCTGGCGACATGAAACCAAAGGCTGCAAAAACAATAGTAACTACTGCCATCCCTGTAATTTGACCACCATCTCCAACCATCACACAGAGAAGCTTTGGGCAATCTGGTTCTCTGAACACATCCCCGACAACAAGCTTCCATCCAGAAAGCTCCTCATTCATCTGTGCTTGAGCTTCTTTGTCTAGTTCCTCGTACCGAGTCAAATCCCTTCTCACAGTCCTTAAGAAGATGACGAAAACAATACCAGCCAGGAAAAAGATCACCATGAGTGAGTTCAGGATTGAGAACCAGTGAACGCGAGCACCTTCCATCTTCAAGTATGCATCCCAACGAGATGGCCATCTAATGTCACTTTTCACAAATTCAACCACATAGGTGAAGGATATCCGCTCTTGCTCCCTTATGATCTGAGACTTGTCGAGGTCTGAGGGGCAGTCCGCAAGTGAGATGTTGTCATAGATATGGTGCTTTGTCATCACTTCAGGATCATACTTAACACTGCAAGGCACAACCACAAAACCAACAATCTCGAAACCAGATGCCTTCTTCTTATCAGATTCAGAAATCATACCCATGCCTTCTTCCCCAGTACCAATAACCTCAACACCACTCCCTTCATACTCATGAACCAACACAGTGAACTTGAGGTGATTGATTATATAATCATCATTACTATTCTGTGGCGTATACCCAACAGGGAACCCCGTCCACTGAATGTCAATTTCATTTTGCTTGGCATACCTCATCACAGGCAAGTTGTCCAAAATCATGTTCACTTGATATAGATCGTGTGTTCTCTGCTTCAGAAGCTTAACCTCATGCTCACTCAAAGGCTTGGTAGTACAAAGGTAAACAGACTCATTCACGTTCATTCTAAACCTGTAGGGAGAGTTATCGATCTGATCTCCCATAAGAAGCTCCCCAAGATTCTCAGCGCTTTTTTTTATTCCACCATGGGGTTGGCAATAAGGGAGACTGTAGTAGCTAAAAGGAAGCTCGGTTTCAATAGAAGTTAAGGAGTTAACTTTGGCAAAGATTTCATCCCCGGTTGAATACGTGTGCATGTAGCTACCAGGCAAATAAAACCCATTGCATGCTTTGCCAAACAAAACCAGAAGAAGGAAAGCCCAACAGATCATGGGCGTCCTCATTTTCAATACCAGCAAAAAAAAAGCCACTGGATTAAACAAAACAAAACAATTTTAACTCAGTACTCAACCCAATCTTATGCCCCAATGCACATCAATCAAACATGATTGGGTCAACACGCACGCAACAACAGAGTCATTTTCAAAATTCCACAACTCTTAGCCAATGATAGATCCATTAATTAACCATAAACTCGTATATCTATCGATACGAGCATCATCTTAATACAGTTAGATCTGATTAGGAAGCTTTACTTTAAAAAAAAAAAATCAATAGCAGATCAGATAATTAAAACTGCAGAGAGCAACGCAATTACTTATTTAAAATAAAAGAGTAAAAGCACATTCCAGACACCAAAACCGAATCCACCATGAAACAATACTAGCAACTCATCATACCCAGATCTACTAAAATCCATAGGTATAGCATTAAATTGACAATAAATTTGAGGAGGAGGTCCGTTACCTCAATCAGATCTAGAAAACTCGTAAACGGTTCGGGTAGAGAGAGATCGGATCCGGATTCGGAGATGCCCAGGGCGTTACGCAGAGCGCTCGCTCTTTCACTCGCGAAGTGGAAGATTCTTCTGTGGTTTTTTTTTTTTTTTTTTGTCTTGTCTTGTTTTGTGCGTGGGTGAACTGAAGATGGAGAAAGGGAAGAGAAATCACAGAAATGAAAAGGGGAAGCACGAATCCGGTGCGTGTGAGGTATGGTTTAGGCTAATCTGAAAGAGAGAATTATAGGATTCCTTAAAGTGACGAGGGGTGCCTTTGTATTTAAAAATATGGTTTTAAATATTTTTTTATTTAAAAATAAATTATTTTTAATATAAATATATATAAAAAATTTGAAAATTTAAAAAAAAAATAAAATAAATTTTTAAAAAATATAATTAAAATTTTTTTTCTAAACAAACTTGAAATACTTTGGAAAACAATTAGGTCATTACATGCTAGTTTATATATAAGTTGGGTTAATTTAATTGATTAACCAACTTATCAATATTTTAAAATTTTTATAAATTTTTTTATTATTGGTGAAGATTAAGATAATCGATATTTAAAGAGAAAATTAATCAAGAATTTATTAAAAAATTAATTTTAATATATCCCTTATTATAAAATCAAAAGAGTTATTGAAATGTAACTTTACGGTATATGCTATATAGAGTGTGTTTGAAAGTGTGAATACGATTATTTTTAAAAAAAGTTATTCTAAAACAAATTAAAAAAAATTATTTTGATATTAGTGTTTCACAATATTTTGTAAACATAAAAAACATATTAATTTAAAATAAAAAAATTCAAATTTTTGCAAAAGCGTTTTCCAAAACGTAATGTCAAACACGTTATATCATATTTAGTTAATCATGAAAAAAATTAAAAAAATATTTTATTTTTAATATATATTATTGTTAAATTTACTTATTTAAAAAGTAATTAGATATTATTTTTTATTATAATTGATATTAAGTATTGAAATTAATAATAGTATAATAATTCAAGTTATAATGCATGGTTCGACTTGGTAGGTCAACCCAAGACCTAGACCAATTCAGGTTTTTAAAAAAATAAAGAAATAATTGACCTAACTAGTCTCAGTCAAAAACTCGAGGAGACTCATGACAAGGTCAACCCAAGGTAAAACTTAAATTAAAAATCCATTGATTTTTTTTTTGTCAAAACAATGTCATTCTTATTATTTTTTTAAAAAAAAAAGAGGGATCAACACAAATTAGCCCTCCTAACTTGTAACTCAAGCATTATCTTAAGTTGACCTCGAGTTAAATTTTAAAACTATAATAATAATTATTTTTATTTTTATATATTTTAATTAAATAATTTTAGAATTAAGAGTTTTTTACAAGAATATTTTAGAAATAAAAAATATTCTATCCAAAGACTTATTCTTGTGTCTTCTATTTTAAAATATAAAAACTCACTGTAAAATCATTCCAAAACCAAAATCTAAAAAATTTTGAAAATAAAAATAAAAAGGAAAACATGGTTAAATGTTTCTTATGCATTATTGGGAAATAATTACAAAAAAAAAATCAGTAAATCATCATGGCCTTATACTCATTTTATTGTGGATTGAAATTGTATAATGATTATTTTACCTTACTCAAACAAAATTAATTAGTTTGCAATTAGGAATAATACAATCTTTCCCACATAATTCATTGGTAACTGTCAAATTGATTTGGATAAATCGATCTCATCATATTTTTTTAGCACATTAAAATAACTTAATTATTCTTAAAAGCAAAATAAATATTAA